CTTACTTCAGTAAGTTTCTCTTCCCCTAAGGTTAAATAAACACATACATTTCTGAATTTTCATTCATTTCTTTAATTTCACATACATGCCTGTAATCCATTTGGCAAGAGGCAAAGGGTTTGATTTAATTTTCTCTCAAAAGACAATCAAAAACTGCCAGCCATTTATAGGAAACAATCTAGCCTCTTCTCACAGAACTGCAGTGTCACTTTTCCATGTGTGAAATGCCCACGTGAGCTGACTCTGGGTTTGGGTTTTCTACTGTTCGGTTTGTCTGTTTATACACAACAAAACCTGCCAACTCCCTTTATTCTTAACTGAGCAATAGTTTAAAATTAGTTTATTTCTTCTAAGCAGGGAGGGACTGTTTCAGATGGGGTGGGGGTGGGGCAGATTTGAGTGGAAGCCTAAAGGGATGAGAAGCAGGTAGTCATGGGAAGGACTAGGGGAAAAAACGTTTTAAACAGAGGGGAGAGTAAGGGCCAGGGGCCTGATGTACAGAAGAGTATCTGGAGAAAACAAGGCAGGGAAGCGTCACTGATGAGCAAGGGGGACCAGGATGAGTGAGAACGGAGAGGTGGGCTGGCTCAGACCAGCTGGTTGAGTCCTTTCTATAGACAACAGGAAGCCAGTGGAAAGTGTTAAGTTCAGGCATCGTGTGACCGGAATTTCAATACAGTGGCACTGCACTTGGCAAAATAAGCATGCTTCCAAATTACTCAAATTTAGCCAGCATTTTGTAACCTAAAACTACTTTTAATACACTAGAGGAGCTGGCTATTTAAAGGAAATAATGGATTTTAAAGCAAACGTTAACTTTTATGCCAACCTAGAGGAACGCTGCACACCAGTTAGTTAGAATGGGGTTACGGTCACAGGCTAGAGCTTGAACTCCCCATTCCCCATGTCCCCCTTCAGACTTCTAAGCTACATGTTAGACGGTGCCCTGGGAAACCTGAAAGATGCAGGGAGGAGCCATGTCATTACCCAGTGGCAGTTTGCTGGCAGCATCTGGTCCCTTTGTCTTCTTCTTCTTCTTCCCCACTCTAGTTGGTACAGGAGGTTCGTATTTCTTTTTCTTGTCCTTACATGTTTAGAACAGCAAGAAAGAAAACAATCACGCAGACACTATATTAAAACACAAACTTCTTTCTGCACCACCTTCACCTATTTCCAAGTGATATAATTTTCCTTATCTTTACGATGCTATTAAAAAGCTTTCCTCTTTTGTAAAACTAGGTTTACATTCCTGCAATTTTATTTAATTTTCAATATAACTGAGCTCTCTTTTTATAACACCCATAAATGACGGAAGTCAGATTATTTCAGTAAGGCAGAGAGAGGTTGACTGCCAAGCCCTATGCCAGTGTTTGCTACCAAGTAACTCAAGGCTCTTCACACTTCAGGAAATTATAGGCAATTTATTCAAGCACTTTTGTAACATTACGTTCACACATTGAAAAAACATTTTATTAATTAATACCTATTTGACTGTTAGGTCAATAACTTTTCCTAAAATGTGAAAAGAGTGTTACATCTGTAAGCCTGGAAGGTAAATATTTACGGGATCATTTATGTTGTATTTTAAAATCCATGAATCCCACAAGAACTTCTCAACTGAGACCTAGGACATCTTCTATCATTTACTTATACCACAGTACTTATCTGTCTCCTTATTTACCTTGTCATCCTTCTTGCCACCTCCAGGACCATGACCACCACTCTGACTTTGACCCTGAGCAAGAAACAAAACAACAAAGTTAGACATGGAAGCTCAGAGGACGAACACTTCAAGAGTATCCTCATTTTCCTCATTCTAAAATACCAACATGTCCTCCACATTTTAACATTTCTGAACCCAAAATGTACCTTGCATTCAATGCGTACATTTAGTGTCAAAAAAATTGTTGCTTTTCTGAAAAGCTGTGAGATTAATGGTGTGCCCTGCAATTGACAGCATTTTAGAACCAGAGCCACTACTAAGAAATATGTAACTAATGTATCATAATGTGGCTAAGATCCAAGACCACTCCCTCTGGAGGGGAAGATATTACTTTCTGAAACATACAATGGATCCTTTAATTACCCTTCTCAAAAACCTTCAACTGTTCTCTAGCATTTACAGTGGAGTGTCCAAACTCCTCAGCTTAGCAGGCCTGGCCCTTGTCAAACAGGCTACAATGGTTTGTCCATCTTTCTCACAAATCTGCAAGGCTGGCCCCACCAGAGGGCATTTTGCTGACAGAGTCCAGCACTTCCTCACCTGTGGGGCATTTTGTATGTTTCTCTGTCTCAAATTACAATAATAAGTTTACTGGGTGGCACAGTTTACGATTAGCATTTTGAACACTAAGCTAAAGGATGGTGGTTCGAACCTACCCAGCTGCTCCACAGAAGAGAAGCCTGGCAGTCTGCTTCCATAAAGATTATGATCAAAAAAAACCCCATGGTTTTCATAACACATGGGGTCACCATGAGCTGCAATCAACAGCAACGGGCTTTACCACATGCATGCAATGAGCTAACCATTCTCAGAATATTATTTCATCTAACACTTACAGACACTATGAGGTTGATACCCTTACTACCCGTAATTTACAGATAAGGAAATCAAGGCCCAGAGAGGTTAAGTGACTTGCCTGTTGCCATAAAGCTTGTCAGTGATGCAGCCAGAAACCACTCAGGTTTGTTGGCCAGTGTGTTTCTTTACCGTGTGGATACCCCTTACATCATAGCAAGGGCTCCAGGAAAGACATTGAGCTACAGCTTCCATCTTGCTAAGATGAGGATGATAATAGTAAGTGCCTCAAGGGACTGTCGGGGAGGAACAAATGAGAAAATGCCGGAAAGGTACCTGGCACATGCTCTTCATGCTAGAATATTACCTAAAAGACCTACAGGGCTCTGCCTAATTGGTCTTTATCCATGGAATGCACCGGCCTCCTTGCTGTTGCTAAGACAACGCCCATCTCCGTCCCCTCTCACTGCTCCTTCTAAGCGGGGCGAGTCCTGCGTCTATAGAGGTTCTCTGGACACATCTCACCTCCTCAGACCGATCCGTGTCAGCACCCACTGAAAACAGACACCCCTCCCCGCCCTACTACCTTCTATAAAACAGTCACATAGCAAAGTGAATTTGTTCTGTAAACTTTCACCTAAATCACCATTTAAAAAAAAGAAAACAGCCACATAACGACAGCCACCCCGCCCATCGCATCACACGACGTATTTGTTTTGGTCACGGTCTGCCTTTTCCTCTAGAATAGAAGCTCCATGAAGGCAGGGGCTTTTGTCAAAACAGAGCCTGGCATAAAAAGTACGGCTCCACAAATACTTGTTTAGAGAATTCATAAACGCGTGCTAGCTGTTTACATTACAGCTAATGCCTTTCTTGAAGCCTCCCTCACACGCCGCCGCCCCGGAGGTCTCTCAGGACGCCGCTCTCCCCAGCCCACCCGGAACCAATCTCCCCGTCTTCTCGGCTCCACAGCCCTTCACTAGTACGGCTCAGACAACACCTGTCCCAGCTCCCTTAAGTAGCCGCCGGAGGACCCTCCCGCGCTCGCCCGCAAAGCCTCCGCTGCAGAAGAGCACAGCTGGGCTACCTGACACGCTCTGCCACCCAAGAGCCCGCTCGGCGAACTCTCCGCGCCGAGTCCCGGCACCACAGCCCCGGCC